TTATTGGTTTCTTACTAGCCCTATTAACGAGCTTGGCAATAGGCTAGTATATTTCTATTAAAGGACTAAAAAAATGCAAATATTATGCTTGTATAAAAATTGTGAATTTTAGCAAAGTATATTAGTCAAAGTAATTAAAATAAGCAATTCAAGTTCATGAATATTTACTATTTAATTCATTTTTTTTACAGTAGTAAGTAAAAAAACATTTATTTATCTAATCAAATAAGCCATTCAACTTCATAAAAATTTACTTTTTAATTTCATTTTATTTGCGCAAATTAGTCAGTAAGAATAATATTATGTACTTGTATTTAAATTTAAGAGTCACATATCTTATGTGAAATAATTGTATAAAAATATAATATAATTAATGATATAGAACATCTTATTATGGGAAATGTGCACAATGTAATGAATATAATATGAGTGAAGCATGGGGTTATACATGCGATCCAGACATAACTGCTCAAAGATGGACAAGTGGAAATAAAGATATTGATTATTGTGTGAAAACATTTCAACTTAGGATTAACAGATATAAAAAAATGATTGAATGGATACCTTTTAATAGGCTATATAATGTTAAAAAAATTGGTGAAGGTGGATTTGGTTCTGTATTTTCTGCAAACTGGTTAGACGATATATGAATAATTAATGATAGTTATAAAATCTATACAAGAGCACATATGTCATTTAGTACAGTTGTACTCAAAACTTTATCTAACTCTGAGGAAAGTCCTTACAACTTTTTAAATGAAGTAAGCCAAATATTTATTTATAATGCGATTTATTTAAGCATAAAATGAACTAATTCATTTATAAATTTATAAAGTTTAAAAATCATATGATATGTAAATTACACAGCATTAGTCTGAATATATATGGATTTACTTATAATAAGAAAGCAAATGAATATTTGATGGTATTTCAATATGCAGATAATGGAAGTCTTTATAAACTGTTAAGAAAACAATTCCAAGATCTCATGTGGCAGATCAAATCAAAACTATTAGAAAATATTACAATTGATTTATTGACAATTTATAATGCAGGGTATATTCATGCAGACTTTTATAGCGGTAATATTCTACAAGAGAAAGGAATTAGTAAAAGCATGCGATCATACATTTCAGATCTGGGATTGTCTAAAAAGATTAATAGAAATAATTCAGAAGGTCACATTTATGGGGTCATGCCTTATATTGTGCCAGAAGTTTTATTAAGCTGAATGTTTACAAAAGCTACTGATATTTATAGCTTTGATATTATCATGTCAGAGATATCAATTGGACAGAGACCATTTGATGGTTATTAATTTAATATTGGCCTTGCAATAGAAATTTGTAAAGGACTATGGCCTGAATTTGCTCCTGAAACTCTGGATTGCTATATTGAATTTGCTAAACAAGGCATGGATTCTGATCTCCCAAAATGGCCTGATGCATTTACAGTTTGGAACAAAATTAAAGAATGGAACAAATCTATGGAAGATTCAGATAAAGCAAATGAAATTAAAATACAATTCTTAAAAGCAAATGAAATAATTAAAAAATTGCCAAATATGATACCAAAGCATTCAGATTCTATGACACTAGCAAAATTATTAATACACGATCAATATTAAATGTAATTGAAGATATTTATTTAAAGACTATGCTATATTATTATTAATATTTTTAAAATTAAATATTATGCTATATTACCTAGATCCTACTTTATATGAACTTTATATTTCCGATATTATTGGTACAAAAAAATAAATCAATTCTATAAATTTTAAATCATAATTTTTAATAAGAAACTCGATAAAATTACTTAAACTATTTATTTGGCTTAAGTTAACTTATGTAGTCTTCTTGTATGTTAAATTTATTTTATTTTGCATAATTTTAGAATAGAATAAAAACAATTTTAACAATTTTAGTGAGTTGTTTTTTTAAATGGTAAGTAATTGCAGAAAAATTTACCTGTGATTTTTTCTTTCTCTATTTCTAATATTATAAAATTACTCGTAGTCATATGTGTCCATCCGATCTTAATTAAGAATATAACCATAAATTACAATATTTTTAAACTGTTATTATATGAAAATGGTTACATTTTTGATTCAATATTACATTTAAAAATAGATATATTGAATTTTACAATTTTTTGTTTTATAAAAATCTAGAATAATCACAATGATTACACATATAAAACAGATTGCAGATAAACAGCCAGGAACTTGCGATTATGTAAAACTACTTGAAAAATTGTTTACAACCAAGAAATATGTTAATCATAATCAAATTTATTCAATACAAGTATTGGGAGTTAAATAAAACACTTTTATAGTTAAATATACAACTAAGAAATATGTTAATTATAGTCGAATTTATTCAATACAAGTATCAGGAGTTAAATAGAATGTTTCTATAATGGAATACTGTAGAATATTTGTGGCTCTTAATATAATCCTGAATAAACTAATGAATCTAAAGACATTTTAGATTATATACACATACATGTATAATTTTTCATGACAAGCTCTTGTAAAATATCATACAATGAATAAAAAACAAAATCAAAAAAATAAATATCATTTGTTATTGTTACATATGATTATTTATTTACTATTATTATATTTTTATTCAACAGATTTTATGCTATTTATATCTATAGTTGTTAGACAAAACTGTTTTTAGGAAATAACAAAAGATGAAATCTAAACCTGGCAAAAGACGAAACTGATGAAACTAATGAAACTGACAAAACTCTGATGAAAGATGAAACCCCTGATAAAAGACAAAACCCTTGACAAAAGACAAAACCTTTGACAAAAGACAAAACCCCTGACAAAAGACAAAACCCCAACAAAGGCAAACTTTTAACAAAGGTCAAAGCTCTTAGCAAAGTCTGAATTCTCTAAGACTACAAAAGTTAAACCATGTCGATGAATAAAATATTTGCTTGTGTTAATTAAGCACAGCACATGGCTCATATAATGAACATATATATGTACATACTGAGCCAAGTTAATAAATAAAATATTTGCATATGGCTATAAACACAGCATGCAATAAAAAGATTATGACTTTATATTTGTATTTGAGTACTTTTAAAAATAAATAGGATTTAGGCTTCGAATATATAATTAAATTGACTTAGGTTTAACAATTCTAAACCTGAAATTTTATTTTCTTTTAGAAGCATTTAGTTATATATTAATTTTATTTATGTAAAAATTTTAAATAAATTAATATATATTACTTATATAATAAGATAGCTGTGCAACAAAGTCATGCAAAATCAGGAACAGAAGCTATATGAAGTATCAGTATTGTATTTAGTAAATATATAGGTAGTTGTACTATTAGGCATGTGAAGTATGGTGACACAGATTCCAAAGGACAAGTAAATTTTTATGATCATATTGTTAAAGAGAAATTTATTACACAATGATCATCAAAAATGTGATTAAAAATATAACTGGAATCACAATCTGAATCATGACCCAAAACTAGCAATAATGTAACTTGATTTCTCTTCATTGTATACAAGAGAAGCTTCAAGATTCAGAACAAGTTATCTATAATTGAAAGCTTGAACCTTACCTGTGATAATTAGAACTAACCTAAAAAGGAAGAAAGACTTAGTGGAATCACCATGACATGCAACAAAAAAAAGGTGTAATTACTTATTTTCAAGAGCTTACAACAGAGCCTTAAACCCACAATAATATTTTGGATTATGCTGTTGTAGTTTTATCAGCAAGACCTATGAAAATAAGAAGTTAATGAAAAGACAAAATCATAAGTTAATAGGTGAAATTGTATAATTAACAGAAAAAGAAAACATTAGTATAGAGAAAGAGAAAATGTTTCCAAGAATACTTCTCTGATAATTCATTATAAAAAGCTCTTAGTTTTGCCATTAAGTAAGATATAACCTTCTTGACTTTCTTTCTATAATTTAAAGAAAATAAATAATTATAAAAACAATTATAAATTATAGTAAGAATAAAATATAAATAAATATTCTTTAAAAGATAACTCTATCTTACCTGGTAACTTGCACAAAAGCCACCTTAGCCATTGTCAAATCATATCTGTTCAACTTACTTTTAAGTAATATTACATAATATCAATAATTTTGAAGTGGCAATTTATTATATTTGTTTTTATTCTTAAATTTGTCTCATTTCCTTGTAATAATATATAACAAAATATGAAAATAAAGATTTAAAGCAATTATTTATTTTATTATCTTGTTATAATTTTTTTCAAAAAATTTAACATCTTATTAATTCTAACTTAAATATAAATGCTAGTTTTTATAATAATAAGTTCTAAAAAATTTTGTTTTACTTAAATATGTACTATATTTATGATTTAGTAAAACTTCTTTAAAACTTGTTATGTTGGGTTATAATTAGTGATATGCAAATTCATATTTATGAAATTTTTTGAAATTGCTTATGGATTTCAGAATATTTCAAAATCTATTGAAAGTTTCAGCTTGACTAAGATATATAGGCTGCTATTAGATAGATTGATATTTAAAAAAAAATTAATACCTTACTTTTTACAATTTATATTTTGATAAATTTAGAATCTAGTTTAATTATTTAATATTCAAAAGAAACCTTAAAATTTAACTTTTTTTTAGGTATTGAATAATTAAATTGGCATCAAAATTCATTAAGATATAAATTGCAAATGTTAAGATATTAATTTTTTTTAAATTATCAATTTGTCTAATTTCTATTGATAACAGCCCATATATAAAAATTATATGCATTGCCTATTACTAGTTTAGGAATTAGAATAGAATAGTTTATATAATAAAATTTCTCAATAGATTTTTTTCAAAGTATTAAAGATGTTACTTATATTGATTTTTGAGAAATAAGTAATTTTTAACAAAATAAAAGTTTGTTTTAAATTTTCTTGATTATGTTAAGTTCTACCTGATCTTGAAATCTAATTTATAGTTTAGAAAATCAGTGTTATAAGTATTGAGAGCATGGATCTTCATAATGTCTTATCTTTAAATTTTAGTAATTTTAATTAAAAAAAAATTAAGTTAATTTATCAATATTTCTAAAAATTTAATAAATATATACAAAGCAAAGATGTTATATATAAATTTTTTTCTTAAAATATTTATTTACACTTATTACTATTTGAGTTTTCTTTGGATTTTATGTCTATTTTTACTATTTCCTAATTATATCAATAGCTAAAAATCTTTTCAAATAAAGTTCTAAAGATTTTTTATTAAAAAAAATTGAATAATATTATAAATAAAGAAAATAATAACAAACTTTATATCTGTCTTATATTTACAGAGTATATAATCTAATAAGACAACTGCATAATATAATCATACTAGAAACTAGGAACAAAAACAAATATAATAGTTAACAATTAATCCAAGTAATATACAAATAAAAACTAATCTAGCATCTTATTAATATATTGCAAAACATTTAATATAAACTATAGGTAATCAACTCACATTAACTAATTAAGCAAAAGTTTTAAGTATTATATAATAAATTATATAATTTTTTTTCTTTGAAGTAATAATCTTGGCTGTATATCTCTATTAGTAAAATATATTATATTTTTATATACAAAGTATATCAACAAAAGTACAACTAGTCATATGTATAACTTTAGTCATTATCTAATTAAGGGTTTTGTTTATAAGTTATCTACTAGATACCATATATGAGACCTGCTTATAGATTTTCTATTTAAACTTTCTGATTTTTAATACTTATATTGCATATATATACAATATTTATATTATTATTATTATAGTAACATATTAGATTAAAGCTATCTTAGTTACTATTTATATCAAAGTACTACCTTATTAAATATTACTAAGTATCCATAATTCTTCGAATTTATTCTTAATGCAAGCTTACTAAACTGGTACCAAAATTATTATTTAGATTTAATTTAGTATATTTTATATCTACTAAACAATTTTAATGTCAAAAGTGTTTAAATTTTAGTAAGTTTATTCTTTTTTCATAGTTTTCTTTTATGTTTATTATATCATCTGCTAGTGCATCTTCTCTTCATTTCTGATATATTTACTACTTCTTTTGTATTAAGTATCAATTCTCTATATTAGAAAACTTTTTTTAAGAAACTTTCTTGTATACTAATCTTCTATTCATATAGACTTAACAATAGGGTTTCATATACATTTATATGTTTCTGTAGATTACAGAGTTTTTTCCTTTAGCTAGAATTGAACTGTTAACCTTGTTTGTGGAAGGAGGAGTACCTAGACCACTAGGCTATAGGACCCTATACAAATAAATTATATTCTTATCAGGTAATTCAAAAATTATTTTTGGTATTGTTTTTGATAATCAGTGATTATAATTTAAATATGCAAATCAATTTACACTAGATTAACAATTTTTACATATAAAATTCTTGCTTTTAATATTGTTAGTTATTATTTGTATTTTTTTTATATTAAAATTATACATACCCTAATTATTTATCTATATTTATATTGATCTACATATTATGTATACCAGTAATGATATACTAAGTATAGTGAAATGATGTTTGCAATTCTTGATATATAATTGGATGATCTGTTATTGTGACTTTTGGTAACATCTCAAACTTAATTTTAAAAGATATTATAATTAGGATTTGGTGAGTTTGTTACTACTCTAATCCAATTTTCATATACTTACAGTAGTTAAGTTAAAATAGGCATATTAGATTTAGCTAGTGGCTTATCTGTAGGTAAGTACTAGTCTTCTCTTATAAGTCTTTCCTTCAATCTAGTCTTCTATTAACCTTTACCTTTTCTTATCTTCTTATGTCTTCTCTTGTATATCTCAACCTAGGATTACACTATGTCAAATCAGGATTAGAATTCTTCTATTACAGTGATGACTTTCTAGTAATGTGACTTGCAGTGAATGATCAATGACAAGTTTAATAGTTTATTGGTGAATGATAAGGATAACAGTAGAATTGACAATAGTTTATTAGTTTGTATAGGATAACACTTTTACTTTTATTAGGGATCAGATATTTAATGTTATTAGGAGATTTATTGGTATATGGGATAATTCTCCCTTTTCCCCAAGGCAAAAATGCCCTTTATTTATAATAAACATTTTGTTTACATTGATAATTAATTTCCACCATAAATGCAATATATTCCTTATACATTATATATTAGCTAAATGTAATAAAAGGCCGATATGTCATTTAACACATATATGACCGAAGTAGCAGAAGTGACATAAGTACCATAAGTAACATTTCCGTTACTTTTCGCGTGACCTTGGATC